TTCAATCTCATTCAAAAGCACATGGATAAAACTTTATAATTATCATATAGTAATACATTATATATTTTGGGGGTTAATATAAACATCTGGTTACATCAAAATACCTAAATCACAGGACTTTACTTCTTGGCTGTATAATGAATGACTAATGGAAGCATGATAAGAGTACAGGTATGTGTAGTCTTGTATATATACAGGTTACATAACATATAACACAAGTAATCAAGACTTACCACGTCATGTCAAGGTAGTTAGTCAGTTAGTCAACCAGTCAGTCGAACAATAGGTAGTCAGTCAGCCAGTCAGTCAGTTAGTCAGTCAGCCAGTCAACCAGTTAGTCAAAACAGTTAGTCAGTTAGAATTACTATTTAAAGACCCTACCCAGGTAAAAATATAGCACTCCTCAAAGTAATACCATTATGTAACACACCAAATTGCATTACAAATTTTTCTTCATTACCACATAAATAAACAATAGTAACAAGAACACTGGCAACAGCTTACAGCCTTTTGACAACAGCTTACAGCCTTCTGACAACACTAACAACAGCTTAGTTGCACCATTGACTTCAGTTGAGTGTGGTTCATATTTTCCGTCTTTGGTGCATTCGGGTGACAGCAGAATTATCTAATATATTTCTTGAAGTCATGACATATCACATTCTTAAGCTTACTTATACATTTTAGTTAGTTTTCTTTACCTAACCTAACCTAACCTATTCTAAACACGAGGTAATTACTGTAGCTACATTCTTTCAACTAACTTAATCTAACTCCCTTGTTTTTAAAGAAAGCATACTTAAGAATCGAACATAAACAATTATTTTTTTCCCCAGTAATATATTTTCTTCTGTGATGATAATAGGAAAACATGTCAGGGCGAGAGGAAAAAAATAACAAAATTACAGATGAAAAATGACAAAAATATATATAAGATAAATACATTGTGGCAGTAAGAGAAATATTTATAACTTTGCACTAGAAGTATTTGTGTTTTTTGGTTATATTGTTTTCATTGTTTATATAATTATTAATAGGTAGAAGCTTGTTCAGTGTTTCATCTCTATTAGTAAACATTTGGACATGATTCACTTTGCTTCACACTGTTTCATCTCTTTTAATAAACATTTGGACATGATTCACTTTGCTTCACACTGTTTCATCTCTTTTAATAAACATTTGGACATGATTCACTTTGCTTCACACTGTTTCATCTCTTTTAATAAACATTTGGACATGATTCACTTTGCTTCACACTGTTTCATCTCTTTTAATAAACATTTGGACATGATTCACTTTGCTTTACACTGTTTCATCTCTTTTAATAAACATTTGGACATGATTCAGTTCACCTTTCAATTTTCTTTTGTTTTTATCTGTCTTCTCACCAAGGTTGTCTTTGACGTCTTGGACAGATGTAATTTGATATATCAAGAATGTAACGTTATCTTATCAGAACTTAATCACGATCGATGTTATCAGATGTAATCACACCGCTTTGATGACATTGAAAGGGTCCTTCCTGTAGTTTTCAATGGCACATGGGTTTAAAATTCAGAAGACAAACACAGACAGACACTCACATGGGTCTATTTACTTCAACTGAAAATTTCCTTCCCCACCTACGTGTTATTTCTAGTTCTTAGGCAAGCAATGTAGGTGTTGAACCCCAAGACTAAACTTGAGGTGTTTTAATGAGCGCCAACATATGGTAAACACACACGTCTCTTACATAATCCGACATCTCCATATATTTCCTCAAAATAAACTTGAAGCAGTGAGTTATGTGTTACGTGAGTGACTGTACTCCTTCCAGGGTTGTTTATAACCGTGAACTCTCTAAGAACACGTCACTAATGAGAGAATATCACAGCCAAATGAGCCAGGAACAATGACATGATCTATCACATTGATTACTTAACACTGTCGTTCCTGTACTCATGGTCCTGTTTAAAGTCGGAGCGAAATATTGTAACAGTCACAAGAACACAATATGCTTTCGTTGTTTTTCACGGCTTTACTTCAACACTTGTAGTAAAACCTCCAACACTTGCTTTCATTCACACTTGTAGTAAAACCCTCAACACTTGTACTAAAACCTCCAACACTTTATCTTTGGCTTCCAACACGCGAAAACAAACACTTCACTGTAACAGCTCTAAGGATTCCATAAAGAAATTAATACTGTCACGCTTTGTGGTGAGAAGGAAACTGTGGGTGACATTCACACTTACGATGAATATCTAGTTTCATCCGAGAATATTGTTTCTTATCGTCTTTAGAGTAATATACCTTGAATTGCTTCTTCTTAACAGTACCGTTCACTGGTAGGCAGCTCGAAGTCTCCTCGCCCAGAGTATCCCCACAGTAGCTGAAGGAGTTGACGCACCGCTTCACGGAAAAAACATTCGGGTATAGCTGGTAGTCGTGAAGCTTTGACTCAGGTCCTAACATATCCTTGACGTAGAACTTTTGTCGTATAGGTTGGCAACCCATCTCTTGCAGGTGTTTCACTTGCCTTTTGATGGATTTTTCTGCCAGGGTGTGGTCCTTGACTTCGAAATCCGGTACAATTGTGGCCAACGAAGCGGCCAGAACCAAAAGAAGAACCACCATGGAAGACGATGATCTCTTGACACGCATCTTGTAAGGAGTACTAATAGATAATTTTCCTTTCAACTTGTAAGAATGACAGCAAGAGAGGAGGAGCACCTTGCCCTTGATCAACTACCCCATTTTGAGGCAGGATACAGAATTCTGAGGTCGACGGTATACTGGAGCTGTCGAATCTCCTCCTCTAATGAGTGTATGCCGGAGCTGGCGTACGTGCTCCTCCAGCGACTCTCGATCAGTAACTGCGGGAAGACTAGGCCAACAGGCAGGACTCACCACGCGGAAACATTTGACGTCATGGTATCTAGACCGTAAGTGTTGACACCTTCCTTAAACTAGCATCTATTATAGGGAATAAAAACAGTTCATAGCTTTATCACACGTAACAGCCTTCGATTCAGTGAATAAAAGAACATTATGCATAGTCACGTGTTCATGAATATTTATCGCACTGTATACAAGATATTCTGAGAACGTTCTATCAAGCAAGGAAAGCTCGATGATGTCAGTGTCGGAGAATTTCCGTGTATTCGTTAAATTGTTTAGGTAATTAGCTCCAGTTTGAGTAGACAGACAGACAAACAGACAAGGACACAGATAGACACAGACAGACACAGATAGACACAGATAGACACAGACAGACAGACAGACAGACACAGATAGACAGACAGACAAAGATTGATACTTATTTATTCAGTACTTACCATACAAGTTTAGTATTAAAAACTGTTCATCAACAATAAAAGAAAATCAAGATAGATTCACTTCCTAGATGTTCAGAATTAATCTTCTGTGTAAATTATCTGAACTGGGAAATACTGGTGACATACAAAAACGTGTCATGATTGGGAACAAATGCTCGAGCGTGTTTATTCAATGACGTAATCCCTGGCAATAAATCATGATTTATCTTACTCAGTAACATTATAACAATTGTAAATTTGGTTAACTTAGGTTCGATTTAATGGTGGATTCTAAAATAGTCGTCTCGTTTAAGTTACTATTAGGGCAGTGGTTCTCAACCTGGGAGCCATGGCCCCCAAGGGAGCCACGGCAAGAATTTAGGGGAGCCACGGCGAGCTGTTATAAATTGTATATTTCCAAATAATGTTGGGACTCTGAATTAAACAAAACCTGTTACTTATTTTGACTTGGCAGAAGAGAATTTTCATTCTTTTTCTTGTCATTTTGTTTAATCATAACGACAATACAATTTTAATATTTACAAACTCTGGTGCCATTTTTTTTTTTTTTGCGGATTATTTAAGATTTCACAGGTCCAGTCCCTGTCTGTGTGACAGGCGCTGGACCGAGCTGCTGAAATGACTTGTTCAGTAGTGTCCGTGTGTCATCCCTTTGCTAGTGGTGATAGGACCGAATTATCTCAGTCTGGCCTGGGATACCATCACGAAAACAGTGGCGTGTATTGTCTCTGAACCGTATATTGTGTTTGAGCTTGACTCAAGCATAAGGTACTCCGTAATTGGTGTTACTTATTTTGTTTCATAATTCATGTGGTCGCTGCTTTACGTGGGTGAAATATTTGTACACTTCCTTTATTAATTATTTCCTTATTTATTGGTGCCATTGTTGTTCATACTCGTTCTTTACTTATATAATCCTACCATTTTTAGTGCTAAATTGGTATGACTCACTATTCTTCTCATTCTTCCAAGTTGGGCAGTGCTTGTCAAAGGAGGCGTGTTCTTGCATACAGGAAGTACACTTCAGCTTGCCAGCTTGAGTGTGAATGTTTACTTGTGTGCATGTTTGTGTATGGCTGTGTGTGTGCTTTATGTGTGAGTGCATGGGCGTGTTATGTATGTGAATGTGTGTGTGTGTGTTTGCCATTCTAACTCTTGTCCTATTTATCTGTCCTTCTTTATCATTCTTTAGTCTTTATCACTTGTCTGTTTGTCTGTTCTGGGAGAAACATGAAGGAGGCCACGAGGATGTTGAAAATTCCTCAAGGGGGGAAAGGAGTGAAAAAGGTTTAGAACCTCCAATGCGTGTATTTGGCCCTGGAACTGCCCGTCCCTGTGTCCATTTATTCAAGATTCTGTACGTCAGTGCGTCTGTCTACTGATATGATTTATGTACTGTACAGCCCTGTAAATGTATTCAACGCATATTATATCATTATGTCTAAATCAAATGTAAGTCTGTATATTTTCAGCCACCGGCTGTAACTCTATTAATAAACCGTTTATTATTATTATTAATATTATTATTATTATTAATATTATTATTATTATTATTATTATTATTATTATTATTATTATTATGTTGGATATATCAATTTAAGATGTGTGTGTGTGTGTGTGTTAATAATTTAAGACACCACAAAATAGGAATAATCGCCTAATTGAACCTTGAAACGCAACACGTTTAAGACATTTTTTTAATTACATCGTATATGGCTATATTTGATGTCCCATTTAAGGCATTGCTTACTACCATTAGCTAACCAAAGTATACCTGAATTAGGTTAGGTTAGGTAACTTAACGAGGACAAAGAATGGTAGCTAGTGATTTGTTTTGAAACTTATCATATAGAAGACAGCTAAGAGTCCCACTTGAGGTGAAGGACAAAGATGAGAGCTAGGGGTCCCACTTGAAGGTGAGTGGCAGAGAGAAAAGTGGATCATTTAATTTCGGATTTTTTATCCAGATCGTCCACGTCTTCTTCAGCAGGTCAAACAACCCTGTGTGAGAAGAAGGAAAACACGCCATGAAACATTACACACACACACACACACACACACACACACACACACACACACACACACACACACACACACACACACACACACACACACACACACACACACACTGAAACCCTAAACTTCCCTCATAACCTTGGGATCTTTCTTACCAAGGGCAATTGTCATGAAACTCTTGTCTGACGTCCTGAAGATTGGATGAGTGGGATCGTGAGTGTCTGAGAGCAAGTCTATCAGTAACTGTTGGGTGCGGGGAGCAGGACACTCTCTCTCCCTGGCGTGGCGTTGTTTACTGCTCTCTAACACAAGGGATCCCTCCTGTTCCGGAATGTCTAGGTGAAGGTATCTGTAAAAATAATGCGTTTATGGTTATTGTTGGTGGTGGTGATGATGACAGTGGTAGTGAAGGTAATGATGCTGGTAATGTTAATAATGATAATAATAATAGTAGTGAGTATTAAAAATGATTATCTTCACATTATTATTATCATTATCACAATTTAAAAACATTAAATTCACTACATTGTTTATACGACCCCGAGATGCACACAAGCTAGGAAGCGATCTTACGTGTTTGTGTGGAGGAGGTGATCCCCAGTGTTGAGGACCTGCACAGAGAACTGACTGCATCTGTCGCCGCGCCCCGTTGTTCCTACCTCCAGATTATGAAACGTGTGGCTTCCGTCTTCACTCATCATAGCTACATTAACACTGAACCCGTCAGCAGCACCCACACCCTCGTCCTTCAGGATAGTGTGGAGGGCAGCCATGTTCTCAGCAGACAGTAGTGCCCGGCACAGGAAGTGGCGGGCTGTTGGGTGATACAGTAGCGAGTGAATCATTATACTCTGAACAGTGTCGCTAAAAATGAAGTGAATCTCTCGATACCAGTGATTCATTTACTATCTAAACGCAGTGTAAACAAATGTTTCTCTCGTAGTCACTCGGCCACCAACCTATAGTCACTTCCCCATCTCGTTTACGTTCCAGAAAACTGAAAAAATTGGTAGTAACCTGACCGTGCAGACACAACATTATCAAGTAGCTACTACCCGCAGTGAACTTAACATGTCAATCCTCAGTACAATAGGTCGGTGGAAAGTAAACCTTTTCACATATCCGTTGAGACATTGTTACATAACTATTTGACAAATTTCATAACCGAATGACAGAACACATATCGAATGACAATCTAATATAACTGTTCGTTCATGCTAACGGAAGTGAGTGACATAAGTTATGAAGTTGACAGACGTGAACAATAAACCGACAGTCTACATATAGTTTGAGAATGTAACAATTGGAGAATGACATACCACCAACAGTTATTTTAGATTGTCATTCGATATGTGTTCTGTCATTCGGTTATGAAATTTGTCAAATAGTTATGTAACAATGTCTCAACGGATATGTGAAAAGGTGTATTATCTCTCATAGACTCACGTGTCTTGCCACTAAAGATATGTTGTGGGATGAGCACGTTGACGGAATAGACGATGCCGTGATGGTTGAAGCCCATACAGTACCCGGGGAGGTGGCCGGCGTAGCAGAAGGCGGTGAAGTGTTCCTCTCGGGTACCCCATCGCCCTTGCCCCTCCTCCTCCCTCACCTGAGCGCTCACAATGTAGCTGTGGTTCAATAACTCACCTGACGCGTCTTCTGTGTGACCCAGCAACACCTGATTATGTAAAGTTAATTTTATTACTCTGAATTAAAATCTTTCTGCTATCATCATCATCATCATCATCATCATCATTATCATCTGTCTTGCATTAAGGGAAGAAGGTATGGCAGCATGACATACTGTATACATCTTCAGTCGGGAACATTCTATTAAATTCTTCCTATATATCTCACACACTAAAACTTTCTTCCTGTATTTGTCCCAGACACCTTCACTACCACTGTATAGTCCTCTAATCTAATAATAATAATAATAATAATTAACGGTTTATTGAAAGAGCTTGGCAGCCAGAAGGCTGAAAATATACAGTTACATATTTGGGGAATGGGTTTCGAATTACAAATAATATACAAGTAACATAAGTGATACAAATAAGATATATAATAACTAGATGGGGAAAAACTCAAACTACAGTGCATTTCAACATAGTGACAGTGCAAGAAGTAGTATTTACTGGGAGCGAATACACTAGTTTATTACAAGTTATTGATAATTTTTACAATGGTTGGGACTGGGCTGTTCTTATAGCGATCAGTTCGTGCACGTATGGGCTCGATGCGGTTGTGGTGTCGAACAGCAATTCTCGGGCTAGGGATCTCAGGTGGTAGTAGGAGCCGGTGTCGAGGATGGTGTAGAAGCTTCTTACCAAATTTGCAGATGAGGTCGTGGTGATGGTCAGTGAGAGTCGAAAGGGTCAGTGTGTTGAGCGCTTCTTGATATGTGGAGTAGGAAGGGGAGAGAATAATCTTGCATGCCCTCTTTTGCACTTTTTCTAGGTGTTTACGTTGTGTGGCATTTAGGGAGGAAGACCAGGTAGGGGAGGCATAGGTGAGCTTGGGAAGTATGAATGTTGAGTAAACACTGAGGAGCTTGGGTGCAGGAACTCCGAGGGACTTGAGTCGGCGGAGGAGGTGGAGACGGAAACTGGAGGATTTGACAACTTCACTGACGTGTGGTTTCCAATTTAGTTTGTTGTCTATGGTGACGCCGAGGAGCTTCGTGGAATCTACAACCTGGAGTGTGTTCGGACCTAAAGTAATGGAAGGAGGTGGGACAATGTCGGAGGAGAGGTTGATGTGCATAACCATGGTCTTGGTATGGTTGATGGTGACATGGTTGTTGGTGGCCCAGTTTTGGAGACTGTTCAATAAATCCTGAAGGGCGGTATAGTCGGGAGCAGAATTGTTGACGCTGATCCCAATGGTGGAGTCGTCGACATATTTCCAGCGAGCAGGGGTTTCTCTTAGGGCATCATTGATGAGCATAAGGAAGCAGAGTGGTCCCATCTTGGTGCCTTGGGGGACGCCACAGGTGAGTGACTGAAAGGTGGAGACAGCCCCTCGGAAGCGTACAGCTTGGCGTCGGTCACTGAGGAAGTCTGTAAGCCATGGTATAAGACTTCTCCGAAGCCCGAGGTCAATAGCTTTGTTGATGATTATATTGTGGTCGACTAGGTCGAATGCTTTAGTGAAATCAATGAAGGCGACAGCTACAGACGTTTTTCGTTTCTCGAGATGGCGGTATATGTAATCGAGAAAGCTGACAAGACAGTGAGTGGTGGAGGAAGTTTTCATATTGCCAAATTGCTGAGGGTCTACGACTCCTGCAATATCAGCATAAGCCCAGTCGAACACAAAACTTTCACAGATTAGGCTGGGTATTGGGGTGATTGCAATAGGTCGTAGCTGATTTAAGGATTGTGGGCTGGTTGACTTGGGCACTGGTGATACATAAGAGGTCTTCCAGTCAGCTGGGCATCTGGCTTGACTGAGAGAAGCATTGATGATGGAGCATAGGGGTTTAGCAAGCTCTGGGGAGAACTCCTTGAAGAATTTCATTGGTAAGTCAATGGGGGTGGTAGAGCGTTTTAATTTTAGTTTGTCCAGGCGTTTTGCTACTTCAAATTCTTCTACTAAGTCAGTGGGAAGGGGGGCTGGTAGGTAAGCAGGGAGCGTCTGGCATATAGTAGCGAAATGGTTATTTGATTGCTCAGCTGCGTCACCATTAGTGAGATGGCTAAGGAAGGGGAGGGGGTGTGTCTTATTGTTTAGTCCACAGAGTTCTTTAAGCTTACCATACCATTGACTAATGTTGGTCTGCTTCAGGTGTTGTAACTTGGTTGGGTAGTGGGGCTTCTTTGCAGTGCGTATTTCGCGGATGACTCGGTTGCGAAGGGACTTGTCGCGGATGTGGTCATTGAGATGAAAGGCTCTGTCTCTCTGTTGCATAAGTCTTTTGATCCGAGGTGTGATCCAGGGCAAGTCAGCTGGGTGAGATCTGACGGACTTCTCGGGGAAGAAGTGGTGGTGAGCTTCCGTGGTGGTGTTGGTATAATTTATCCATTTGGTTTCCACGTCATCCACGCTAAGTACTTCTGTGTATATAAATGTGTGTGTGTGTATATTACTCAGTGTGTATACGTGTCTGCGTGTGTGTATACGTGTGTCTGTGTGTGTATAACTCAATGTGTATACGTGTGTGTGTATATACACGAGGTGTGTGTGTGTATAAGTACCTCATCCTCTAGATTTAAGCTGACGGAGGAGCAGCCGAAATCCACACCACCAGCAGGAGGAGAAGGTGGGTAGTCCTGATCACCCCTTCCCAAATCGATCAAACCGGAGGCACGATTCCGCTGAGGCATATGTAGGACCATTAGCTGTTGGGACGATGTTGACGAATAATAATAGAACAATGAATAAGGAAAAAATAAATGAAACTAATAAGGCCAATTATTATGTTAGAAGTGGAATTAATTGAATATTTTAAGGAAATTGGTGTAATTTATATGAGGAGAAAGGAAATTACTGTTTTTAGGGATGTAAAGAGTAAAGGACTATCAATTATATTATAGTTGATGTTTAATGAAATATAGATAAACTTTATATTACTGGTGAATTATAGACCAAGAAAGAACTCTCTATAATCTGGAGTGTACTAAATTCTAAACATTATTTGATGAACACTCTTGACTGGTGGTAAATTATACGGATTTAGTTATAGGCTTTGATTCACTTTCAAGAAATATTAAGTTAGAGATCACAATAGACACTTCATAAATTATAATCCTGTCCAAACACCCACCCATCCTCACTCCCTCCCTCACTCACTCAGGAAAGGCATTCATAGGTCTAACTAACGCAGCTGAGTGTACTACGCAATAAACTATCCCCAAGGCTATAAAATAAATAATAAATACAGACATAAAGAACTCACGTCATAGAAGGGAAGACGCGCGCCATCAGCTGTTCCTTGAAGTTCACGGATGTAGTGTGGAAAGTTTATCTGGAGGAGGGGGAGGGCATGGTTAGTTAGGTGTAAATATACAAGGGGGGCGTGGTGGAACCAGATGTAAACATTCAATACTTGATCATACTCACAAGGAGGCGTGGGAGGGCGTGGTGGAGCCAGATGTAAACATATTCACTATTTGATTTTACTAACAAGAGGGCGTGGTGGAGCCTGATGTAAACATATTCACTATTTGATTTTACTAACAAGAGGGCGTGGTGGAGCCTGATGTAAAGATATCCACTACTTTATAATAATTACAATCTATTCCTGATATGTATAATTCACTCGCCAACAATAACCACATAATATTGAACAGTGATGTAAAGCCAATTTCACCTGATGATTAAACACCCAAACGCTACTTGAGGGGGGGGGTAGATTAGGTTAACGTTAAAGTGGTTAAATTTTAGGTGAAATAAACTAGGGGATAATCTTCTAGTGATCCAGAATTTTGTATCCGATTTAAAATTCATCTCGAATGCCTAGTCAGTCACCCTGCGTATTTATTTTTTCTTGGGGGAAATTCTCACGCTTGCTCACTCGGGTTTGTTTGCATGATTTGTCGATTTAAACTGTTTACAACACCTGAATCAGAGTAATTTACCATATATTACATTACACCTTATAAGCAGGTTCGGTCATTACGCACGCTCACAGATCTCCATGAGCCTGTACTTACCGGAGTCACCTGTACATCTTGACTCAGTATATACCTGTAGCATGGCGAGAGTAGCGTTATAAGCTGCCTTGCCCTCCCCGCTACTGAACTTAGCCAGGAGAGCTGAGTGACTCTCCTTGATGGCAGAGAGGTAGTCCTCGATCAAGCAGCGAAAAGTATGACCCTGTAATGTTTTTGTTTTTAGTTTATAAGAGAGAAGAGCACAGTAAGATACGCCTCTTGCTTAGTACAGTATATAAACCAGGGTCGAATCCACAATAAAAGATCTAAGATGTGTCTCTCCTTAGATAGATAGATAGATAGATAGATAGACAGATAGATAGATATTCATATTATTGTGAATTGTGAATCTTTCCCAGTAATGAGTCACTATTTATGGTGGTTCTTAATATTTTGAGTTGACAATACACAAGAATCATGTAAGTGAAGGTACAGTACAGTACGCCCCTATTATGTAACATCGAACTATAAATTATAATACTGTTTACAATACAAAAATCAAGTTAGGATTTGTACGTTCCCTCAATCAAATGAAAAACTAAGAGTTAATGATGACCCTCATATGCGACGTGTATACCATAGCATAATGTGTACCTGTTCCTCTCTGAGCTGAATAAAATCGTCGGCCTTAGACATAATTATAATGTACCGAAAGTGGCCATAGGGCAGTTAACGTAAATAAAATCCATTGTTATAACCCCACATCACAAAGGACAAACAAATTATTAAAGTAAACATTTTGTACCTGTTTGTGTCTTAAACCTACGTAGTATCAGTAAATACGTGTGTATACTTACCACATCGTAACCCACTTGGTAATAGGTACCCCGGGTATGAATGATGGGTAGAGTGTTACGGCGTTCTCTGCTTATATTGGTCGCCATATTGGTTTTATTTGTTGTAATAGCCGTCTTGGTGGTGCTGGTGTTGATGGACTCTGTCTTTGCCGCTCGTGGTGTTGTATTGATTCAACGCTTACACGAGATCCAGGTTTAAGTGTCTCAGTTGGTCCAAAGTTCACACAAGGGCCAGTTTCAAGTTCTATCTCAGTCGGTTAAGTTGTAACTCAGATGGTTAAAGGTTTATACAATTGCCAATTTTAAGTTGTATCTCGGTTCAAAGCTCACACAGGGGCCAGGTTCAAGTTGTATCTCAAAGAGTTTAAGGCTTACACAATGGCCAGGTTTATGTTGTAACTCAGTAGGTTCACAGGTCACAAGAAATAACCATAGGCGCGACGACACTATACTTAATGGCAGTGCACATCACCTGTCGACGAAATAAATAAAATTAGAAAACAAATATTGTCAGGTTGAGGTTCTACATATTTCCTCAGTGTGAAATTTTGTTGGCATGGGTGATGTGACTGAGGTATGGGTGATGTGACTGAGGTATGGGTGATGTGACTGAGGTATGGGTGATGTGACTGAGGTATGGGTGATGTGACTGAGGTATGGGTGATGTGACTGAGGTATGGGTGATGTGAATGAAGTATGGGTGATGTGACTGAGGCATGGGTGGTGTGAATGAAGTATGGGTGATGTGACTGAGGCATGGGTGGTGTTAATGAAGTATGGGTGATGTGACTGAGGCATGGGTGGTGTGAATGAAGTATGGGTGATGTGACTGAGGCATGGGTGGTGTGAATGAAGTATGGGTGATGTGACTGAGGCATGGGTGGTGTGAATGAAGTATGGGTGATGTGACTGAGGCATGGGTGGTGTGAATGAAGTATGGGTGATGTGACTGAGGCATGGGTGGTGTTAATGAAGTATGGGTGGTATGATTGAGGCATGGGTGGTGTAACCGCCAATCAGACGGTTAGAGGGTGAATAATACTTCTCACGTCGTACACGAACATTATAATTCGGTCAAACCTGTTGAATACAATTCATTTAGTATTTCAAATAAGTCATACATAGGCACTCTTACATTGTAATAAACATGACATGAGTTACAGCCTAACATAACATTTGTTTATGTCATCATAATTATGTACCGCTTGCGGTAACAGGTGGTATGATTGAGGCATGGGTGGTGTGACTGAGACATGGGTGGTGTGAGGCATGGGTGGTGTGATTGAGGCATGGGTGGTGTGATTGAGGCATGGGTGGTGTGATTGAGGCATGGGTGGTGTGACACAAAGGACTAAGGAGAGGGACACACAGGACTAGATAGGGGGCGTCCCAGACCTCCTGACTCCCTGGGGGCGCCTGCCGCACCCTAGACTGCCCCAAACTTCGGACGACGTCGCCCCCTTTCTCTTAAGCTCCTCGTGTGTGTTGGTGTGGGGATTAGTGGATGACATCATTATGGCCTGACCTCATGTTTAATAAGGTCACCCTGTATATTTAAGCCTCTCTCTGTCCATGTAATCCAGTTGCCTCTGAAGATGTCTTGAATAAAGACGAAAGCTAAGGTGCTCCGTTGTTTCCCTGTTCCCCCGTGTGATTTTATCTTTTTTTACTTTTACTTTTATCCTCTTCGCCACTGATCGGCTTGTTAGCCGCTTGGGCGATCGGTCACGTCTCTGATTACTTTTCCTTTCCATTTATCTTTTTCACCAAAAGATCGGCTCGCGAGCCGCCCGGGCGATCGGTCACGTCTGTCACGCACTGTTGGCAAATACTGGGCATGCACCGGCTCCTGAATGTACCTGAACCCGCTCCAGTGTTGGTCAAGTCTTGTCTTGAAAGAGCTCACACTCGGTGCCGTCACAACACTCTCTGGTAGATTGTTCCAAGAGTTTACAACTCTCACTCCGAAAAAGTTTGCCCTCACGGTTTTCTGGACTTGCGGCTTCTTCAATCTTGAGCTGTGACCCCTTGTCTTATCCACGTTTTCATTGTGGAGCTACTGTACATGGAAGAAAAAAAAAAAAAAAAAAAAAAATATATATATATATATATATATATGAATCGGCTGCTTGTCCAATTAACCAGTCCGTTCACACATATTTATATTTGGGTTTTAAGTAACGAAACCCAAACGGTAGTTCCTTTGTTTTATTATAAAAGGTTACCTATGTTATGAACAATGTTGAATTTGGATGATACTGCCCGGTAATAACAGAACAGGAACATTATTGCCAGAATTAACAGAATAGAGGGAATCGTAAGACTTGGTAGAGCAAATTCCCGTGACAGGTAAAATGGCAAGTTATTATTCAAATCAGCAAAATGTGTCTCGTTCAAGAAGCTAACACTTTTAATTTCTCTGATACTATTTGAATATCCTTGATAGTGAAATTCATTATAGGAAGTGGAATTAAAGCAGACTTGAGTTTTCGATTTAACGCAAAATGCTGAGTAGGCAAGGTCCGTAATGTACTACAAGTGATTTCACAGTAATCAGGAGCCTTGTAATGCCCTTTCACAACTAGCTGCTTAATACCATTTTGGCATTTTAAAATTACAGTAGTGAGATTTGGAAAGAACAAATACTGCACATTGTGAAGGTGAGCGTGGAACACAGTCTTTAGACTAACTGGCCTATAACTGCATTGCGCTAACGCTGTGCGTACATTTGGTTGTATGACTGCCAATTCACATATTCCATCTGCAGCAGGAATAAATGCAAACAATGTAGGCTGGACATACGTGTAGGTGTAGATAAGACGACTTACACCGTGACAGTACCTCAGAATCCTCTATTGATAACAATGAATATTCTTCATCTACTAAGAAAAGTTCTTTAGGCCTATCTAGGGTATACAGTGTGTCGATCACAAACCAGGGGAAGGGTTCTAAATGCCATGCATTAAACTCATGTTGCCCTCGCATAGGAATGTGGATCAGAATTGCATTGTGCGTGAGGGTTGACTCCAACAGTGGGTAATGATATTGAACCTCATTGTCATTGAAAATAGGAGTTAAATGATACTGCAACTTGGCTATTTTTAAAGCTTCAAGAAGCGTCTGCACAGGCACAAGCTTCGCGTCCACACGTCCTATCCCGGCATCTACAATGCTGTCTATTAGTTCATTTTTAGAGGTTACTATTTTATGAACTGAAATTTCAGCAGCATGCAAATATTCTGTGAAGTAAAGGAGCCATTCTAACGTCGGGATTGCTTTCTGTAACTTAGTAACAATCCTCGAAACTTGGTTAGACTCCATTATGATTGCATTAACCTTTGATTCTAGAGCAGTAATCGCGTGAAAGGTTTGAGAAATAACACGATTCTGTTGAGATACAGCTTGAACGACAACGTTCATGAAACTATTGTCGAATTCATCGAAGCTGTGCTGAGACCATGAAGAATGTCCAATGCTGATTGTAGTTGGCCGTCGACGTTTTCCATCTGACGCGAAAGTACGAGTTAACTTCTACTCGCAGAACGTAGTTTCATACAATAGTCATTTGGGACATTTTGCTTCTGAACAGTCTGTAAGGATGTATCAATCACATTATCATCAACTTGAGGTAAGACATTTATCTGGGTCTTCTTCAGACGATCCGCGTGCACGACATCTGCGATCTGTGCATTAGGCTTCCATATTTTGAATTTGTTGCCTGCTTCTTTTGAGATTATGCGGAATGGACCAGAAAATTTCGCCGAAAGTTTGGAGTTCCTTTCAGGTACCTGTAACATAACAGCGTCCCCAACGTTCAGTGCGATAGGTTTAGCATGTTTATGTTGTTTGATGATCATTTCGGCGCGTGACGCCGCTAGCTGTGATCGTACTTGGTTATGAATTTCTGTAAAGACATGAATTTGTTTTGCCGCAAAATCATCCGTATTATATACCGGGTATGGCGCCTCTGTAAGGATGTCGTAAGGCAGACGTTTATATGTGCCATAGACAATATAGTAGGGTGTTTTGCCCGTAGAGCTATTAACTGACCCATTAATCGACGCTGCAACCTGCGGTAACCAATCCTCCCATGCGTATTGAAAACCATTAACGATTGGACGCAGTATTTCTAGGATTTTACGATTGGTTCTTCAACAAGGCCATTAGCCTGTGGATGATAAGCTGTCACAAAAGTTTGTGTAATTCCATATTGTAAACATATATGCTCTATTAGCTCATTCTTGAACTCTGTTCCATTATCAGAGAGTAGAACTTTAGGCGTAGTATATGGACATATGAGATTCATCACTAATGCATAGGCTACTGCTTCGGCCGTTTTGCTTTTTAGTGGGACCAAGACCACGAACCTGGAAAAATGATCCACACACACTAAGACGTATCCTGATCCCTGATGACTCATTGGGAGTTGTAACACATCAACAGCGACTGTGTCAAACGGACGGTCTGGTGTAGGATATTGTAGAATCGGGGCAGGTGATCCTGTCGATCTTTTATGTTGAGCACATGCCAAACAATTAGCTATGTGTAATTCTATGTCTTTCTTCATAGTGTTCCAGAAATACTTCTTTCGTAAATCCGCTAAGCATTTATCACGACCTTGGTGACCTGCTTGTGGGACATCGTGGAACAATGTCATTACTGCTTTGCACAACGTGTCAGGTACGACTATTTGAGACACATTACCCTCAGGAGATTTTCTCGTCCTATTGAGTATGTTATGTCGTAATTCAAACTGACTTAAGGGAAGAAATAACTTGGGGAGTTTAACATCCTCGCCCGATTCGAGAGCAAAAATAACAGCTGACCAATATGGGTCGCGTCGTTGCTCATCTTCCAGCTGCGAAAGAGTGAATGTTGATACAGGCATAACTGGTGCTATATTTCTTGACAGAGCGTCGGCGACAACATTCGCCCTCCCAGGTAAATACCTAAATTCGGGGTCAAACTCTTGAATTGTCAGATACCAGCGTGCTAATCTGCCTGATAAGTTTCTGCCATGGAACAGTTCGGTGACTGCCGCATGATCAGTAAAAACAGTTATCTTGTAGCCAAAGATAATGTCTTTGAACTTCTTAAGTGCCCACACAACGGCTAACGTTTCTAAATGCGTCACCGAATAACGTGTTTCAGCATCGATTAGTTTGCGATTTGCAAATGCTATCACTCTAAACTTCCCACGCGTGTCCTCTTGCATGAGCACTGCTCCGACTCCAATTCCGGGAGCGTCAGTACAGAGAGTGAAAGGTTGAGTGTAGTCTGGGAATGCTAGAACCGGGGCATTGGTTAGCGCTGTCTTCAATGCCGTAATACTTTCCTCGTGTTCAGCATCCTATATAAACACTGCATCTTTTTTGAGCAACCTCGTTCGGGGCGATGCTAATGTTGCATAGTCCTTGATAAAGGAACGATTATAACCAGATAATCCGAGAAGGCTACGCACATGATCATTTGAGGTAGGACGCGGGAACTGAGATACAGCTTTGACTTTATCATTAACTGTGTGTATGCCCTCACCGTCAACTACATGACCAAGGAAATGGATTCTGGATTTTAAAAACTCGCACTTTGAGAGTTTTATTTTGAGTCCTGCTGTGGAAAGTTTGGCCAAAACTTCACGCAGTTTTATCAGATGGGAATCGACGTCCTTACTGACTACTATTAGATCATCCAAATAAGCGCAGACTGTGTTACCAATTAGTCCGGCAAACAGGGTGTTGATCATTCTTTGAAATGTTAGTGGGGCATTTCTGAGACCAAATGGCATTCGTAGAAACTCAAAGTGGCCTAGAGGCGTGCTAAATGCCGTGATTTCTCGTGATTTTTCATCGAGTGGTATTTGCCAATACCCACTAAGCAAATCTAAGTTGCTAAATACCGCATTATCCTTGCCTAAGGATTGCAATATGTTACTCAAGATAGGCATTGGGTACCTATCAGGGATTGTTTGATTATTTACGCGCCTGAAATCTATGACAGGGCGCCATCCACCATCCTTTTTCGGGACGAGGAATAATGGGCTATTAAAGGGGGATTTTGAGTGTCTAATGACATTCTCATCTAACATACCCTGTACCATATCTTGCACTACAGCGCGCTGGCTATGAGGTAGTCTATAAGCTGGTACGTAAATAGGGTTGGTTCCTTCCTTTAACGCTATATGATGGGATGTTAAATCTGTCTGACCTAGCGTTTCCCCTGGCAAGGCTACTATTTCTGTAGTCGGCAAGCAGCTCTAACAGGCGTGTCTTGCCCTGAGGATGATCGATCACCTTAACATGTGGCGCTATTTGATCTATCCTGGCCAGTCGAGTCTGTTGGCAATTCGCAACAATACCTCGAATTAGGAATTTATTTGGTTGCACTTCGACATTGCTGTGATATCTAGAAAATCACACACATAACATCCTTTCTTTAATTTCTTGATAATGTGAAATTGCTCCCGCAATCCCGTAGACTTGTGTGTGTGTGTCACAGTAGACACAGCTGATTCCAAGGTCCGGTGATTGGGTCAATGCTCACAAAAATCCTGAGTACAGCAAACCGCCGCTAATTGTTACACAACGTCATCCACAACACCATACCTCAGAATGCTGAGACCATCTCTCAGACCGGATGTGTCATCATCACTAGGGTGGGTGCTGGGTGCTGGTAACTGGGGGTTGTTCACGCCATACGAAAGAATTTTGTTGACAGGATGTTGATTGATGAACAGTCACAACAACTGCAGTCACGTCCTGTCACACCCTGGGCAGTGAACGAATCATTTGCAGAAACTAATGTTCACTTTAGCTCACAGGATTTTTGTTTTTGGTGAATTCCTCATTCTGGTAATGGAGAGTACTCTTCAACATTACAGGTACTATCTTCCAACTCTTGCTGCTGTAATCACGCTGGGAAGGTGTGTGGTTGAGGTCGAGATATATCTCTGACGCATGATCCGCCTTCCTCTTAATAGGATTGGTAGACAACACTTTCGTCCTAGCGGTGAGCATAGGTTCAGAATGACTCATTGCTGTGTAGGAAACACCTTTAAACGTAACACTATTATTACGTGGATGAACATCTATCATGTTCTTTCGAAGAGTTGGTAGACCAAGTAACCCGTCAGCTGGCAAATTGAACTGCTGAACTATATAAAAGTCCGCGTAGAAGGGCGTACCACGTCTTGAGAATCTGAGTGGTAACGTCACCATTCCTTTGATGCTCAGCTGAGTACCTGAAACTCCTTCGAGCTCAGCGTTACTAGGCCTCCATTTGAATTTGCGGTGAGGGAATTTACGTTGTAACTCGTGATATGATGTCAAGGCCAATACATTAGCGCAAGCACCTGTGTCTATATCAAGAGCCAATCTGGTATTATCCACTCTCACCGGTACTGACAACACTTCCACTTTTCTAAGCGCCGCTATAGAAGTGCTGTAAGGAGGGGCGGGAATTTCCCTATCTATCCCTCTCCTTGGTGTAGTGTGCGCTGGTCTTCCCCCGATGACTTGTCCTGGGGACGTTTCTGCTTGCGCCTATACGACACCTCCGTTTCACTTAGGTCCACTCCCCTAGCTTTTATTAGTATATCGCACTCATGTGAACTATGAGATGTCGATTTGTGAAGAGCGCACCATTTGCGCGCTGTCTGGGTAGGAGGAGGAGGTGCTGCTTTAGCTACCTCTCTGTTTGACCTTGAGAATGGCTTTGCACCGGGTGTGGCTTTATTTGCACTATTACCTCGGAGCTGAAAACAATCTTCCATTACGTGGCCACGTTTATTACAATGTGCGCATCGTAACGATGTTTTCTGTTTATATGTTAGGCGGGGAGGAGCGATCGGAGCTAAGTGTGTCGCATAAGGAGTCTGGGAGTGAGGCATCTGTGGCATCTGAGACTGCTGGGGTTGTGGTGACGTCACTGAGGGTTGCGCCAGTAAGGGGCCCGTAGCCTGGGGACAGAGCTTGTTTGCGTATTCCACCATATCCAAGGGTGGTTCATACTGTACTTCCTGTGCCCGGCTATATAAGGGAACACGGACGGAAAGAAGAAAACTTATTAGTTCTATCAATATTTCCACATTTTCTGGCGGCATATCACCCTATGAGTTGTACCAGCCTGATGACCGGAAGGTCGCTTGCATGTCCTGGCGAACCTCGCCCGCGATGTCAACAGCGTCAACGGGTGTTTCGTTTCGTATACCTGGAATACAGCGATCCAACCATCTGAAGATCCATTGCAGTTGGCCCAGCTGTGACCTACCCCCAAAAATCCCAATTAGCGTTCTCTTGAACTTTTCATAGTCAGGGCTTTGTAAACCAAACGCATTTAAACGACTGCCTGCATAGGAACCCTGCGTTATATGGGAACGTACATATGCTTTCTTATCTTCGTCAGTCGTTATGTGACTATTGCGCATGCTATCTTCACATGCACGAATAAAATGTGCGACCCTATAATCGTCTTGTCCCGTGAAATTTCGAACATAATCACCGCGCTGCATGATATTAATGACATTATCAGCTTTAGGTGTGGTATTAGTAATGGTGTGAGGGTTAGACGAAGCCATTTTAGTGTTAGTATTAAGCAAATTAGTATTCTTACTCTTAACAGAAGGCTGGGTTAATAAGGTTGTTACCGATTTAGCAACAGACACACCATCACCTGTAACAGGGGTAACTGCTTTAGTATACTTAGGTGAGGTACTATAGTGATTACCAGACCGTAGGGTACGACGGTTTAAGTCGTCAAATGATTCGTCTATAACTTTCTCACTACTTCCTACCGACTCATTTAACTGTGTTCCATACTCAAAATCTATGTCAGTCTGGGCTTGATCATCGATGAGTTGGTTATCAGCAAATAGTTGCGCTAGGCGTTCGATTTCATCTACATTAGACATGGGAAACTTAGAAATTATCTATTAGCCCCCTTGGGTCAATGAATACTTAACAGTAAGTAGATCACTTGCCTCTCATTTACAAGACAAATGAATATGTTTTGTAGTTAATTATTAAACTATCAATAAGTAGACAGACACTTACAAACTACTGTAAATTATAGGATTTCAATACATTAATCTTACATTCGACACTTTATCATTGAAATAATCCTATCCGACGAACCTATTGGTGTGAAGATATCTCTCGAACGTGTTCATGTGTGTAAAACTATGTAATTTAAATACCTATTTATACAGAGTAGTACGTCTGTATAGAAAATGTGATCCTTCAAGAGTTCTGAGTGGAGTGGTGGGTGTTGCCTCTTCCTAGGATGCGTGCGCCGCTGCTGGTTTCCTTGGCAACGAGATGACGCTTCTGCTTTGGTGAGAGACGAGTCCACTTGATTTAGGTGAGTTCCTCCTCCGGTGATCAGAAAACAGATGATTGGTTATCACACTGGTCGTTCGCTGGCGAAAACTGCCGTGTGCCAATTCTTCACAGACCACGTATATATGGAGATCTGTATGATGACACCGGAATTCGTAATTCGCGCTGACGACACAACAATACTGCTCAGCTGCTAGTGAAATACCAATTGAATTCCAGGTTACGAAACTGTTGTTCAACACTGCAACACTGTAATGTCTAGGGAATGCTGAGTGGAGTCTATCTCAACCGGCTCAATCTGGATATGTACCAACAGGCTGTAATATTTGTATATTACGAATTCTGCACGTATTTGTATGTGACAGAGATAAGGAGCGCTCACTACATATCGTCTCAATACGGGATATAGTTTTAAACACTCGGATTATGTAACGCGTCACTGCTGTGTGGTTTCTTGTTTTTCACAAGACACAGACGGATGATACGACTACCAGTTTGAAGAATCCGTACACACCGCTTGCCACCTATATGAATCGGCTGCTTGTCCAATTAACCAGTCCGTTCACACATATTTATATTTGGGTTTTAAGTAACGAAACCCAAACGGTAGTTCCTTTGTTTTATTATAAAAGGTTGTATATATAATTCCTGAGTGTATATCAACCGTAAGTCTCACTGTCTAGGAGTGAATGAGAAAGGGACGGCGTTTATGTATGATAAACGTTTGGTCACGTCCTTTCGATATGAGTTGAGGTGAGCTACTGAAGCTAAGGGGCATCGCAGTGCGTGCTTACAGATATGCTGAGCTGTGGGTCTCGCCCTCTTGGGTAAGTTGCCCGCTCACGTGTCAATCTCATGTCTTACTCATAGACAGTGGAAAGTTACAGGGTGGTGAATCTGAATATAATATCAGATGTATTGACCCATTTATATAATACGTTCTGTTGATGAGACAGGGGCCTATTACATATATATATATATTATATATATATATATATATATATATATATAATATATATATATATATATATATATATATATATATATATATATGTGTGTGTGTGTGTGTGTGTGTGGAAAATGGATTTGGGGAATTTTGATTCAATCTAGGAAATTTTCAACCTTAGTCCAGGGAATTCTTCATCTGAACTTGTGGGAACACTGGGGAGGGAGCAGACACTGCCATTTAATCACAGTGAGGATTAAGGAGTGCAGTTGGGTTGGTTGTCGCTTGCGCCCACTATTCTTCATATTAACGGTGTTTTACTTCCGATTCAGACCGTCAGCGGTTCGGTAATTGTGGAGGAGGGGTGTTTTTAGACAGTTTTGTACGCTGATTACTTTCGGTTCTATTATTTTCTTGGGCAAATGCTTAGTTTTCTATATATAGAGTTAACGTTCACATTCCCACAGTCGCGTCATCGTGTGGTGGCAGATGTAAACAATGCGGTCCGACTAATTACCCAAATGTAGCCAAATATAGCCTTAATGAAGTCAAATAATGGTCCTAGATGAATAAGTCGGACTGCTAATCACTTCTCGACTAGTATTTGGTGTCAGAAAGTCACAAAAAATTGGTAAACTTAATTTAATCTGAGTTAATAGATCGAGTGCATGTACCTAACCCAACCTAACCTCGACTAGTATTTGGTGTCACGAAGTCACAAAAAGTTGGTAAACTTAAATTTAATCAGAGTTAATAGATCAAGTGCATGTACCTAACCTAATCTAATCTAATCTAATCTAATCTAACCTAATCTAACCTAACCTAACCCAACCTAACCTAACCGATCGAGGTGTATAAATGGAAGTCAGGGCTAAACAAAGGTGATACAACAAAGGTACTCAAACCATCCAACCAGGAGCAAACTTGTAGCTATGGTTTTAAATTAGAAAAATTTAGATTTAGGCACGAGATAGGTAAACATTGGTTTGGAAATAGATGAGTGGAACAAGTTACCAAACATCATTAACTCCTCCATTCTTATTCTTTTTCTTGTTCTCTCTATGATATTTGTAACCATTGTGTGTCACATGCTAATTTTTGCTTCCCCAAGTGCAAAAATTATGAGATCAACACAGAAATGTTAACCCTTAAATTATCAGAATATGAGCAAGATAGTTTAAATACTAAAGAACTGTAGTGACTCGAAGCATCTATGTCCGCCAGCCAATCTGCCCTCATTTGCAAAGTTGAACAGGCTACAGTACAGAAGGTAACTTATCCCAGAATCATTATTAAAACTTCAAAATATTCATTGCAATTATTTTAGTGGCTCCATTTGAATTTAATTTTTATTTCATGCAATAATTCAGTACAAAATCAGTTTGTGTACTATCTACGTAACTTTTCTCTGTACATAAGCAGCTTTATTTTTCATTTGACAGGGTATGGCACAAGTCTTTGCTATCTAAACTTCCCTCTTATGGTTTCTCTCCCCCACTTTGTTCTCTAATTTCTAGCTTCCTTGAGAACCGATCCATGGCAGTTGTTGTCGAGGGATCGATATCTCGCTCTTTTTCTACCAATAGTGGTGTCCCACAGGGTTCTGTTTTTTCACCTTCTCTCATCCTTCTTTTTATCAATGGTTTACTGCACACTACTACTAATTCTATCCATTCTTATGCTGATGATTCTACTCTTCACTCTTCTTCACATTTTCCCCTTATCCCTAATTCTTAAACTAGATCTGTTTCTAGAGCTGATATCATTACAGCTATCAATGCGGATCTGTGCAGCATCTCTGAATGGGGAGGTAGAAACTTGGTTAAATTCAATAGTAATAAAACTCGGTACTGTATTTACCAATTACACTTTCCAAATTAGATGATCTTCCACTAATCACATTTCAGGATGCAATCATTCTGCCAAATTCTAAAATGAGACAGTGCTAGGCTTCACCATTTCCTCTAATATGTCATGGAAGCCACACATCTTCAACATTGCTAAAGCTGCCTCCCGAAAGCTAGGAATGCTGTACAGATGCCGTATTGATTTCACTCCTGAGCAGTTGCTTCAAGTATACATTAGAAGGGATTCATTCGTCCTAACTCGGAGTACAGTACTGTTCTCATATCTGGGGTGGCTCTTCTTCTGTCCAACTGTTAGATAGGGTGGAAACAAAGGGATTTCATCTTATTGACTCTCCTCCTTTAGTTGATAATCTTTCTTTCCTTTCTCTTTGCTGCAATGTTGCTTCACTCTCTCTTTTATAGGTATGTTCGATGGATTTGGCATCCTGTGTACCACCGACAAGGCCGTGGGCTCGTAACACTCGTCTTACCCGCGGTGCCCTCCGTTTCTCTCTGGATTTCGGTCACACTAGAATAACCCGTTATAGTAGATCCTTCTTTCCTCACACAGCTAAACTGTGGAATGCTCTGCCTTATTCTGTGTTTCCATACTCCTATGATCTGTCTCACTTCAAAAGCTGGTTTTCCGGCATCTTTGTGGTGTAGATTAATATAATCTTTTTCTTTTTACTCTTATTTTTTCACCCTCTAGGCCCAGTTGTGGGTCGATGACCTGTGCGCGGGTGGGCTATTCCCCATAAAAAAGAAAAAAAGAAAAAAGGCTCAAGGTTTTATATGTAACCCGACCATTGATCTAAGTACTGAACACGTGTTATAAAACTCTATTACTATTTTGTTTACAGCTGATGAATAATCTTGCATGCCCTCTTGAGCACCTCCATATGGCTGAATGAAGTGAATTAAAACAGGAAACAGCTTGATGTTCACATAGTTGTTTTTTGTTACAAAATGAGCATCCTTCAACTGTTTTATAATTTGTGACAGCAATGGTAGCAAATACATTTTTAACAATTGCTTCACACTTTGTTCTAGCGCACCTAATTTTCGTTTAAAGCATGTTTGAAATTTTTTTATACAGTTAGTATGTATATAAAAAACTTTGGTTCTCCCTGACTGTATGGTAAGCAACCACGTCTAAATCCTTATTGCTAGGCATCACACTTTTAAAAGAATCCATACTGTAGGTACTTTATGTCTGTAAATGGAGCACTGACATCCGCAGACTTATGTCTCTTTGAGCTGAGGTTCTTAGTAATGTCACTAATCCCACCATTTGCAATGTTGAAGTCTCACACCGTATGTCACTTTCAGTTGTTTCTGTAATAAATGGGTATTTAGACTGCAGATGTGCATTAAATGTATGCTTTCTTTTAGATAATTTTGTGATCACTTCCTTCACATGTGTACACACAGCACTGCCTATACTGCCTCAGCACTAAGGCTACTAAACCAGCACTTTCAATGTGCTATCCATACTTTAGATGCCATTTTACCAAATTTTCTGCCTCCAATAGTGTGAATTTTTGTTGCTTAAAAGAATGTTACCAAGAATTAGAATCACTTGTGAAGGTTTTTGTGCACAAAAACCAACCAAATATATTCTAATTGTCAATATTTTCAATGGCAACTATGGCTGCTGTCTCTGCGGCCAGTGTGTACATGTACAGTCCCAGTATGGACTGGTTATCAGACAGACAGTCAGACTCCATCTAGGGAGATCTACATTCAGTGCCAAACAATTGTTCAAGAACATAACATACCAAAAAACAAAATAAAGAAAACAAAATGTGACTGTACATAATGGCAGCAATTGTAATAAAGAGGAACATTTATAAAAGTATGCTCCAAAGGCAGGACATTGTCGTGATTACTTGACAAAACCGGACACATATCTGAAAAGCAGGACTGTCCCTCCGAAAATCTGGACGTCGTTCAGTTTATCAGTACAAAACCTTCATTGCATTAGTCAGAATCACTTGCATATAAGGACTAAGGCTACGATATAGTGGGATTTTAAACATTGTTCTGTCAGTACGGTATGCACATACACTATAGAGTATGTAGTTAGACTTCAGTATATTTTCGACTGAAGAATGTCCCTAGGAACGGAACTTGTACGTAACCTGGAGACTGCCTGCACAAATAGATCCTCAAGCCAGGGACAAAGACCAAACCAATTTAGAGAATTTTAAAATTTCCTGGGTCTTAAGGTCTCTCAAGTTACTCTATACAGTACTACATTGTTTTGCTTTAACACTTTTACTAACTTTAATGATTTTTATGCACAGTTCTTTAAAATTTAAATAAGGCCTATGTCAGATGGTCTATTTAGAGGTGATACCCTAAGAGCGAAATGTGTTTTGAAATTATTGGTTAAATTAAACTAAAGATTCAAGATACCATAACTTATGCCAAATGCTACTTACTGTGATTCCAACTAGCAGCAGCAATAATTTATGAACTCATTACTTCTGTAATGTAAACACCCACTTAATTCTTTTTTAAAACTTTGTATATACAGTACGTACTTGTAAATGAAGTAGATTTGGTGTGTGACCACCTTAGTTAAGGGCGGTCGGGTGACGGGCAAGTCGAAGGGAATGATTGAAACCCGCCTGTGACGCACTCGATATTATTGATATGGTCAAAAACCTGCAGAGAACAAAGCGTTCATTAGTATTACATGGTGATCCATCTGATATATAATTTGTTAGTCTCACACAGGGTCATAAGGTCAATCATGTGACCACTAGGTCTGCTTACTCTTAGAAGGGCATTAGGCATAAACTATTATATGTGACCTATCATATGAATTATCATAACAAGACAAAAGTGATTATAATGTTGCTAACGATCTAAACTGAAGAGACCTTGAGCAATGACCAGAGTCATGATTAAAAAAAATGCGTTGTTGCTGCAAAAAATAACACCCGTACTGTAATAATAATAATAATATGGGCGACATATAAAAATGTGTTTATAATGTTTTTATTGAACTTTGAAATGAACAAATGATGCATGTTACCACTGAATCATCTCCTGATCTTCTACTTATAATAGTAATACTGCCATAATAACCATTCAGGTACAAACCACAGCTCAGTGACATCATTACACCAATTGCTGGAAATTATTAGGAATTTATACGTAACACATTTCATGGAAAAAAAATTTTGCTCAAACACACAAGGCTTTCATGAGGTAGTGGTCCTCATTTATTGCAGGAGAAAGTGCACAAATGAATGCAGGTGCTGGAGCTACATGGTTTTTTAACATCAACACTGCTGGGGTGGTGCATGAGGTGACCGGGATATCCACTGGGGGCTCCATGAGGTGACTGGGATATCCACCGGGGGCTCCACGAGGAGGTGTTTGAGTCTTTCCCTCTGTAATCTTCTGGTGATGGCATCTTCAGTAGAGGAGTGTCACTTCTGGCCTAGATGAAAGCTTGATATGGGACTCTGTTTGAATGGAGGAGTATAGCATCTGCTGTTGGTGGAAGGCACTTCACTTTTTGAGATTTGTGGCAGAACAGTGCTTTCTGTAGGAGATTGACTTATACAGTTGGCATGGGAGCCATTGAAGAATTTTAAAGCTTTCATCCATTGCACTGATAGGGGAGAGGCCCATCATTGGGAGACTGCTCATTGTCTGCATTAATTCTTTACCAAAGTTCTGCCATGTGTTTCAAGCCATGACACTTCTTTGGAGGACCCCTGAGCTTGGGATTGTGTAATATGGTTCAGGCAATCTTGTTCCTCTTTGTATACCTTTTCAAAGACTGGCAGATTCTCTGGAATGGTGATTGGAAGCATGGGTGGTATTGCACCTCTTGTGATATCTACATCCAGCTGACAGACAAATGTATATGACTTCCGCAAACCTTCAGTCTCAACCTCCTCACATGATCCTTTCTCACAAGGAGCTCCTGGTTCATGTATTGACTTGGCCTGAAACAGGCTCATGGCTGTCCCGTGGAAAGCTTCTTTCGTTGTAGTGGACATTGGATTATGAGTGATATTATTGATCATACCCATTGTAAAGACACCTTTCTGTATATTCATTGGGCAAACCAACCCTTCTTTTGTGAATTGTTTGAAAAAGAATGAGGTCACCTGTGGTTCATGGTAGATGACTTTTTGTAGCTGTCGGAGAGTCCAAGTCTATAGAGGAAATTAACAAATATCTTATTTCTGAATTGCGAGTGACAGTATAGGCCAAGGAACAAAGTCACTGGGAGAGTAGCCCATTTCGAAACAGTGTTGAAAACCTTCAGCTGTCCAATTTTCATTGTCGGCTGGCTGGATTTAGTCTGGGGGAATGGCCTTTCCTGGGAGCCATCCTCAAACTCACAATTGAAAGACCATAATGGGTCATATTCAATCTCCCGGCAAAGAATGCCCACAATTTGCAAGGATACAAGAATCACTTTCTGCAGCATCCGCATTGATTGATTTTCTGGTGTCAAGGAACACAAAGATCACATTCTTCCCATCAGTCTCCTCTTTCAAGCCAGAAAAACAACCAATGATCAGTTCTTTCAGTTGAGTGTGATGAACATAACCTGCTTCACAGCCCCATTTTTTCAGTGTCTCAGACAGTCATTCCCTCAGTTCTCCGAGCTTGAAAGACATTTTTCCTTCACCAACTTCCCAGCTGATTTCACCATAGAGCTCCTCAAGAACCCAAAGCCATGTCTTTCTACCTTGATCTTTGGGTTTGTGTGGTGCCTCTCGTTGTTTGCTACATAATTGGTTGTCGGACACAAAATGATAAAATGCATCATCTGTCATAAGATCACCCCCATGTGGCTGTCTGGCCATGTTATCAAAGTCCTGGAGGATCTGAATTCTCATCTTAAGGTTGACATCCTGGGATGTTGTGACACACAGTGGAGGTTCTTGTCTGATTTCCCATAAATGAGACAAATGTCTATGGTAGATGGACAAGTTAGCCTTCCTGAAGTTAAAGGTCCAGTGACAGTCTGCGCGATAGCTTGTGACATTGATGGCTCGGGTAGAATCTAGATATGTTGAATGCTGGAGGGCTTTAACCTGCACACTTTGAAGAGACCTGGCTGAATCTTGGTCGTAGCACTTCTTATGCCATTTGGCCTTAGTGGTTACACATTTTCCCTGGGTTAGTTCCTTAGGATTATACAGAAAACTTTCTTGCAGTCTGCCAAACTTTCAAACTCTTTTAGTCTTACAATCACTGCTGCATAGGATTTCTCAACTACACCAAACACATTATTGTCTTTTGAGATGGTCCCTGGCACAAAAACAAACCCATGGTCCATGACGTTCAACAGTATACTGTATACACTGTATATGCATAATGTTGTTCCAAGAGTAAGCAGACTTAGCAGTCATGTGATTGACAATATGACCCTGTGTGTATGACCAGGTGACCTAGTGCCTGTGCCTTAGACACCTAAACCAGCCTTGGAGACCTTCAGGGAGTCATTTTAGGACTGTATTTAGCATCTGACCTTGATACCCCGATTGGCCTTGAAACCTTTGCCCTTTAGGACCCAAAACTTTCTAATACCACAAGCTACAACTGTACCAATTCTCGGGTTTTTGTCCACAGTTGTGGCAAAGTTAAATTTACCTTTGGTTTAAAGTTGTTTTTCATCCAAAATTTTAAAATTTGTAATTGAAAAGTAAAAATAAAGTTTTGAGAAGTTTATATGTATTGTATCATGATATGGGTTTCAACTTAAATACTGTATTTTATATATATATATATATATATATATATATATATATATATATATATATATATATATATATATATATATATATATATATATATATATATATATATATAAGTCAACCCTCGCTTTACGCGGTCCCACATTCCACGTTTCCACGTTTACGCAGTCCCACATTCCACGTTTCCACGTTTACGCGGTACCATGCCGAAACCGGAATGCTCACATTCCGCGGTGCGTGTACCCCTTTACGCGGAGAGCGGCTGGCGAGCCGCGCCATTTTTGGTTGCAAACCTCCCGCCCTCTCCTGCCATCCGCCATGTTGTGTAAGCGGCGCGAGCAGGGTGCGCACAAGGTCGCCCAGTCATCAAAACATTACCGAGTTCTTCACCCGCCACCCACCACAGCCGGCCCAAATCAGTGATAGAGATAATTATAGTGAGGATATGGACTTATATGGACTTTGAGGGGTTTGATAAAGAGGCCCTGCAAGCCTCTGTGGTGGATAGTGATACAATTGATACAAGTGATACAGGTGAGGGCCAATAATCTGCCCTCTGCCTCGGAACCAACCCCCCATCCCCGTGTGCCCAGCCATCTTTTCTACTAATGTAAGTGTTAAAAAACCTAATATTATTGATATTTCTCTTAATTATTAATTGTGTGTGCATACCATCATAAAATTAAGAAGTTATTTTTACTACAACATAGGTATTGTGTCTGAAAAAGTGGAGTTTGGGGGTCGGCCCGGTCTCTATTTCAATTAATCCCATATGTTATGTTGTTCACTTTACGCGTTTCTCACTTTCCGCTGTACCCTGTGGGTTGAATTAACCGCGTAAAGTGAGGGTTCACTGTATATATATATATATATATATATATATATATATATATATATATATATATATATATATATATATATATATATATATATACTGTATTTTATTTTATTTTTATTCCAAGATAAGTGTGTGGAGGTGCAAGAATATGGAAGGTTGTTTGACCTTGGTTGGTGCAGCACTTTATGCTCAGGTGAGAATAATTATTGTTAATGTTTTATATTCATAGGAAACTTACAAGCTCTTTAAATGAGCTGTATATTTCTATTGGAGAAGTCATAGCATAATGAGATATTTATACAGTACAGTAATAAAGTTCATTCAGTGATGAAGATATCAGAACGATGATTGTAGTACAGAAACAGTGGTGGTATTATCCTATGTAATGATGAAGGCGTAGTTAGATGCTCATTTTTTAAAAGTTCTTCGTATGGGAAGACAACTAGTATTTATGCATTTTGGTAAAATATTTAAGTAATCGTGGTGGCTTTAGCAGAGCTTTTATCCTGCCTGATATCTAAATATTGGCCCCAAGTCTGTAGCTGTTGAAGGAAAAGAAGTACAGTATTACATGTAAGGTGTTTTAGTAGTTTTACAAAGGACATATTGCAGAAATAGAAATTGGTTTCGACAAGTGTTAATATTTCAGGTTGGCCCATTGAGGTGTATGAACTACAATAGTGAAGTTAGCCCGCTAAGGGATCGACTGTAGCAGAGATGACAGGTCTTGGATGTCTGCAGCCTCCAAAGCCACGAAGAAGAATTTGTAATAGTAGAGCAATTTATAAATAAGCTACAACTTCAATGTCCTATAAATTTAACAGAATTATTTTGTGCTATGAAGCCTACAAGTGCATTAAAATTGTCATTGATCATTTCTAGTATTTATAAATAAAAAATTTTATGTACAGTTAATCATATACAGTATACTGTATATCATAATTAGTGATCAAGCTTAGTAACGGCAAGATGAGAATGGAACTGAAGTAACGGGCCATAGGGTAATGTTCTTGCAGTTAACATAAGAACATAAAGAAAATAAAGAGTCTGCAATAGGCCAGTTAGCCTGTGCATGGCAGCTCCTGTCGAGAGTTACAACCACTCTCTATCATCCATGAATCTATCTAGCCTCCTTTTGAAACTTTCCAGAATTCCAGCACTTACTACAAAGTTGCTAAGCTTGTTCCACTCGTCCACCACCCTATTTGTGAACCAGTTTCTTCCTATCTCCCTCCTAAACCTAAACTTATCCAACTTAAATCCGTTGCTCCGAGTCCTATCCTGCTCGGATATTATAAGAACTTTATCTATATCCCCTTTATTGATTCCTTTCACCCACTTAAATACTTCTACCATATCTCCCTGCACTCTTCGTCTTTCTAGGAGATGCAAGTTAAATTTCTTTAACCTATCCTGATATGGAAGGTTTCTAAGTCCAGGGAATCATTTTCGTCATTCTTCGCTGCACCGACTCTAGTGAATTGATATCCATTCTATAATAAGGGCACCAGAACTGAACCACATAATCGAGGTGCGGCCTGACTAGCGCAAGATATAGTTGTAATAAGACCTCTGCACTCTTATTACTTACACTTCTAGATATAAAACCCAATACTCTGTTTGCCTTATTTCGAACATTAACGCACTGTTTTCTAGGCCGTAGGTCCGGGCTTACAAGTACCCCTAGGTCTCTTTCACAAGTCGACTTCTCTAGGTTGATGTTGTTAAGGCTGTATACATTGTCAGTATTTGTTTTTCCAATATTAAGTACGCTGCACTTGCTGGTGTTGAATTTCTTTTGCCATTTTTCTAACCACTCCTGCAGTTTATTTAGATCCTCCTGTAATGCATTTGCATCCTGCCCTGAATTAATCTGCCGCCCTATTTTGGTGTCATCCGCAAACTTGCTTATGTCACTGCTGATCCTAGTATCTAGATCGTTTATGTAGATTATGAACAAGAGTGGGCCTAGTACTGACCCCTGGGGAACCCCACTGGTTACACGGCCCCACTCAGATTTAACACCATCTCCGCTGACCCTCTGCGTTCTATCGGTGAGCCATGATTTTATCCAATTTAAAACTCTCCCCTCGATACCATGAGCCTTAATTTTTCTGAGAAGCCTCTAATGCGGTACTCTGTCAAATGCTTTACTAAAGTCTAAGTAAATAACATCGTAATTTTCGTCATTATCTACTACTTCAAAGACTTTCCTAAAAAACGTCAGCAGATTTGTTAGACAAGATTTTCCCTTTGTAAACCCATGTTGCGAGTCGTAGATTAATTTGCTTTTCTCCAGATGCGATCAGATGCTATCTGCTATAATTGATTCAAGAAATTTCCCCACTACTGACGTCAAACTGATCGGTGTGCAAAATAAATCTTTTTCGACACGATTTATACATTTTTCTCAACCGATCCATCATTTTCTATCAGTCTCTCAAAGTTGCAAATCTCTGTTTAGTGAAGAAATAAAAGTAGTAGTAAATGTTAAATAAGAAAATATACCAAGTTGTTACCTTTGCCTGTACACGGTAATGCAAACTAAAAATTTTGAAGGCTGTATTTAATATTGAAGAAAAGTTGTAGTAAAAGGGCAATTACCGTATTTTTTGGCTTCAAAGACGCTTTTTATGATAAAAATATACAGGTTGACAATCCGAAATCCGAAATCCTTGGGGCCAGAGGCATTTCGGTTTTCAGAATGATTTTTTTTTTCCCCTCTATGTGTATTAGCCCACCCGGGCATAGATCACTGACCCACATTGGGGCCTGGGGGTCTAAAATATAATAATAATAATAATAATAATAATAATAATAATAATAATTCATAGGTCTAGGTCGTGTTTCTCACTTTTGATCTTTTTTCATTCTTGTATTTCTTTACTGTATTATTATTTTATTATTACAGTATTATTGTTATTATTATTATTATTATTATTAATTTTATTATTATATTTTATTATTATTATTAATTTTATTATTATATTTTATTATTATATTTTATTATTATTATTATTATTGTAATAATTATTATTTTATGTTGGTGTATTTTTATTAAAATTTTTATTTCCTATGAATAATAATTATTATTACTATTACATTTTCGCCCCGATGTGGGTCAGTGATCTCTGCCTGGGTGGGCTAATAATCCCTGTTAAAAAAAAAAAAAAAAAAGTCCCACAAAAAACTTGAGGTTTTTAGAGCTTTTCGGTTTTCTGATAAAGGGTTGTCAACCTGCACCTCGAAAATTACCATGTGTCTTCCAGGACACTAGTGATGAGTTTTAGCAGAGGTTTTTGAAAGCAGCCTGTAGTGGACGTCTCCCCTACAACTGCGTATCGCATTCCAATGTGCCGCCTCCCCTAGCAACCAAGCAGAGCTGTCCCCAGATGTTACCGTATCTTAGCAACGGAACTAGTCACCGGCTACTTCTCGGGTTTTCCCAACATGACTCATAGAGGACTGGCGGCTGCTGCTGGGTGTATATAAGCTCTGTCTCTCCATTGAGATTGAGTCTGACCAATCTTCTTGAACAAGCAACACCTCCTCCTCTGCCGCTACCTGGCGACCCTCGCCTTTCCTCCGCCTGCCTGGCGGTCCTCGCTCCCGCCAGCGAGCATGTCCTTCTCTGAGCTTCCTCACCAACCAACTCTCATTCTGCTCATTTTCCTGAACAAGCAACATCTCCTCCAGCAAGCTCCACGCTGTTAACATTTCATTCAACCAGGAATCCAGCAACAGGCAACATCTTCTCTAACGAAGCTCCTGCACATCTACCTCCTTCAACAAGCTACTCACCGCACGTCTCTACCAAGCAGCCCCTCACCACACGGCATCTCCAGCACCAGACTGTCTATCATATAACTTATATAATACAAGAAAACCACATTAGAGTTTCCTTCCATCCTGAGTGCTAGACAACATTAATATCTCGATACCCCTACAATGGTGACTCCCGGAGATTAGCACTCACACAGGATGGAGGAGACACTGATCACGCTCCCAGTCTTCAAGCAGACACCGGCTCCTCTTCCTGCCTCACGCACCACATTCTGACGACCCCAGCACACCCGTCCTGCCTCAGACGCCGACCCCGGCCCAGCAGTTCCTGCCGTGAGGGAAGCACACAACATCCATCGCCTCCACACCCCCTCTTTTCTCCCTCAGGTACTCCCTGCTAATGTCCTGCACCCTGCTGCTGTCGTGGACCCAGCTGCTGTCACGAGCCCTAACCCGCTTCTGCTGACCCAGCCCCTGCTCCTGATCCAGGCCCACACACACCCCAGCAGGCGCATCTGACGACCCTGTACCTGTCGTGAGGGAAGCACAACATTCATCGCCTCCACACACCCTTTTTCTCCCTTCTCCCACAGATCGTGTGTATCTAGACAGTTGTATTTCAGCGATCGGCTCATCACGCCATCGCCGTTGTCTTACATGAGGCATGCACCGCCCGGTCTTCCTCACATGTGCTAAGCAACTCTACAAACAACAAGTCTCCTACACCGCCTGGAGGGGAGGGGGAGTATTGTAGTGGACGTCTCCCCTACAACTGCCTAACTGCGTAGCCACGCCACCACCTGTTACCGTCTTCCCTAGTAACCAAGCGTATCCGCATTCCAATGCCCGCTGTATCTTAGCAACGGAACTAGTCACCGGCTACTTCTCGGGTTTTCCCACCATGACTCATAGCCGCTGCTGGGTGTATATAAGCTCTGTCTCTCCATTGAGATTCATTCTGACCATTCTTCTTGAACAAGCAACACCTCCCTCCGCCGCTGCCTGGCTGCCCCTTGCATCTCCTCGCCTGCCTGGCGGTCCTCGCTCCTGCCGGCGAGCATGGCGACCCACCAGCTGTCCTTCCCTGAGCTTCCTCACCAAGCAACTCTCATTCTGCCCATTTTCCTGAACAAGCAACATCTCCTCCAGCAAGCTCCACGCTGTTAACATTTCATTCAACCAGGAGCACTAGCGTAGCTAGGGGGGGGGGCGGTCCGCCCCGGGCGGCACTTTTGGGTCTGCTCATCACCCATATCTGCAGCTACTGGAAACGTTAATCCATCCCTTTGTATCGGCGGCAAGTTAATCCTTGTCGTGTCTGACCTAACACCTGACCCACATCATCACGGCCACGTCATGAGCTACACCCTTGCTATGAGGCCCCCCGCCACACACACAACCTGTAACCTGTTGAGGATTAAGGAAACAACTTCAAACAAGTACGCCAGTGAGCTCATGTGGTGTGGGTCAGGTGTTAGGTCAGATACGACGAGGATTAACTTGCCGCCGATACAAAGGGAAGGATTAACGTCTCCAGTAGCTGTAAAACCATGCAGTCTCGGGTCATATCAGTTCATGTACAGCCGACCAATCCACCAGTTACAAGCAATTCACTTCAGTTCTGCACAAGTCTCCATCGTGACAAGACGAGGGGAGGCTAGACGACTTTTAAGTTCTCTTGTGTTTTCGATCCAGTTATTTACTTCGTTGGAAGACATAATACTATAAGGTAAGAAATATTAAAGTATTGGTTAAAAAATATTGATGTGACTTTTGCTGCGGTACTGAGATTAAATATTAAGATTTTGTTTCACAGCATTGCGATTTTATACTAAGACACTATCCTCACTGGGGTACAGACAAAAGCCCCCCCGACAAAAGCCACCCAGACAAAAGCCCCCCAGACGAAAGCCACCCAGACAAAAGCCCCCTACTTTGATCGGGGTGGCTTTTGTCTGACAACAGTAAGGCAAACTATTTAATATATATATATATATATATATATATATATATATATATATATATATATATATATATATATATATATATATATATATATATATATATATATATATATTCATGTAAATCCACAATGAAAACGTGGATAAGATAAATCTTGATAAAATCACACGGGAAGATGGAAACAACGGAGTATCTTAGCTTTCGTCTTTATTCAAGACATCTTCAGAGGCAACAGTTGCCTCTGAAGATGTCTTGAATAAAGACGAAAGCTAAGGTACTCCGTTGTTTCCATCTTCCCGTGTGATTTTATCAAGATATATATATATAAAAGAGTGAGTCACTGTGCAATATGTATTTTTTGTAGGGTCACGGGGGAAACTAAGGGCCCCGGGCGGCACACACTCTAGCTACGCCACTGACCAGGAGGCCAGCAACAGGCAACATCTTCTCTAACGAAGCTCCTGCACATCTACCTCCTTCAACAAGCTACTCACCGCACGTCTCTACCAAGCAGCCCCTCACCACACAGCACCCCCAGCACCAGACTGTCTATCATATAACTTATATATTATACAAGAAAACCACATTAGAGTTTCCTTCCATCCTGAGTGCTAGACGACATTAATATCTCGATACCCCTACAAGCCCCTTACAAAGACTGTTACCTCATTACAATACTTAACATTTACAAGTATTCTCTATACAGTACTATAAAACTAGTTTTTTAACTATTATTGTTGATATATTGCAATAAGTAAAAATATACCTTTGCTGCTATGTGGTTTGTTTACCAGTGGCAGTGGTGCGGCAGCGCCATCTATTGAGGAATTGCTAAAGGTTGCTGGTCTCAAAGCGCAGGAATGTTTGTTTCTTTATGTGTAGGCTCTCATATTTGGACACCTATTTCCAGTAGGCTCTCATATTTGGACACCTATTTCCAGTAGGCTCTCATATTTGGACACCTATTTCCAGTAGGCTCTCATATTTGGACACCTATTTCCAGTAGGCTCTCATATTTGGACACCTATTTCCAGTAGGCTTCATATTTAGGCTCTCACACCTATTTCCAGTAGGCTCTCATATTTGGACACCTATTTCCAGTAGGCTCTCATATTTGGACACCTATTTCCAGTAGGCTCTCATATTTGGACACCTATTTCCAGTAGGCTCTCATATTTGGACACCTATTTCCAGTAGGCTCTCATATTTGGACACCTATTTCCAGTAGGCTCTCATATTTGGACACCCATTTAGACTAAAAAGCCCACTAAATTAAAATCTTCCACACACAACAACATTGGCTGTCCATATGTTTTCAACTACCACCACTGGTGGGTAGAATTTTTTTTAATTCAGAAACATTAATTAAAATATATATGAACAGTAAATAAGTGTTGCTGTCATATTCTTATGTAGAGTAATGACGATATGTATACACATGTGCTCTTTTACATACGCCATCTCAATTTTTTCTTTACACTCAAATCCGCTGACACACTCACCGAACCCACCAAACCAACCTACTGAACCCACCTACTCTCGCCCTCCACATCCCACCCTCGAATTTAAAGGGTTTAACTACTGTAATTAAGTATTTCCAGAATAACAAAAAACACCAAAATTGCACCTCAGAAACTCCTAGTTGGCTAGTAATCGGCATTGAAATAATGTACAGGGTAATTAAAATCTTCCAAGGATCATTACAACCACTAATTACCCTGCATGTGAATCGTGGATCAAAGATTCAGAATCAGCATGCTCAGGAGTATCTATACTGAGATTTCAAACAAAATCTAATTTTGGGTTGAAACTGCCAGTATACAGGAAAGCCTCCAATAACAACAGTCACGTCTCTGTTACACACTGTTGGCAACTACTGGGCATGCACTGGCTCCTGAATGTACCCGAACCTGCTCCAGTGCTTGTCAAGTCTGGTCTTGAAAGAACTCGCACTCGGTGCCGTCACAACACTCTCTGGCAGATAGTACCAAGAGTTCACAACTCTCACTCCGAAAAAGCTAACCCTCACAGTTTTCTGGACTTGCGGCTTCTTCAACCTCGAGCTGTGACCCCTTGTGGGGCGAGCATCCATCAGCTCTAGGTAAGGGTATTCGACTGAATGGTGCCCTTTGAGATGTTTATACACCTCAATTAGGTCGCCTTTTGCCCGTCTGTAGTCTAAGCTAGGCAATTTCAGGTGCTCTAATCTCTCAGGGTAGCTAAGGTTTCGAAGTGCAGGCACCAGTCTGGTGGCCTTCCTTTGGATATTTTCAATCAACTGATAGTCCCTAGCATATCACGGGGACCAAAGGGGTGAAAGTACTCTAGATGGGGAAGCACCTCACTCTTGAAGATCATTACAAGGTATGAACCGTCTAGATATCTGAATGATCTCATAAGATCTAATAATTTAGTTTCCCTGATTTACCTTCTTGCAATGGCCCGAGAACTTCAGCTTATTGTCAACATACACACCTTGGTCCTTTTCACATTCAGTCTCAATTAATGCAGTTTCTTCATCCCGTTAGGACATATGATATGCCTCCTTACCATTGGTATGTCCCAGTTGCAGCCTCTTACACTATGTGACATTGAATCTTAGCCGTCATTTCTTCGACCATTCTTGAAGCTCACAGAGATCCTTCTGCAGCTCTTCACAGTCCACTTTGTTCTTAATTTCCCAAAATAACTTGACTTCATCTGCAAACATTAGTATGGAGGAATGTATAACATCAGGCATATCATTTATGAAGCAAGCAAACAAACAGCAGCAGGCCCAATACACTGCCCTGTGGTACCCCGCTTGTGATGGGTACACATGATGATTTCATGCCATTAATCACCATACTGCTTGCGGCCATGGAGAAAGTCTCCGATCAACACTAGGACATTTCCCCGAATCCCATACCCATCCAGTTTAATTTTCAGCCTTTCATGGGGTATGCTGTCAAAGCCTTGGCAAAATCTAGGTACAGTATATATTGTCAATATTACCTCCCTGTTCCAGAATTTGGGTACAAACATCCAGTACAGTACCTTAAGTAATTGTGTTAATTAGGAGCGACCCGGCATAAAACTGTGTTGGCAATCCTTTACAAGGTTGTTTTGTAGTAGATGTTCCATCATGGCATTTCTAATAATGCTCTCAGTTACTTTACATACTATGCTGGTCAGGATCACCGTTTTCTTGGGCAGAATCCTACAGTCTTTTAGGGCGAAATCCTACCGCCTTCTGGGGGCGGAATCCTATCGTTTTCTAGCGCAGAATCCTATCATATTCTTGGGCGGAATCCTACCATCTTCTGGGGCAGGATCCTACCATATTCTGGAACAGAATCCTGTCGTATATTGGGTGGAATCCTACCGTTTTCTAGGGCGAAATCCTGCCCTAGGGATTGTCATATTCACTTCATCTTTTTCTGTTTTTTTTCATTTATTGGGCATCCCCCTACATTCTTGTGTAAGGTGAAGCGCAGAAGCGTTTACAGCTCCCAACAGGGAAGCATGCTAAGTTTATGCTTGCCTTTATATCTCATGAGTTAAGGGCATAGAAGCCTGAAGAGTCAATGGTTTATGTCTAAGCAAGTTATTGGAAGCTCCAACAACTTGTCCCTGAATACGAATTCGCATCTTTCGATTTACAGCAGGTACTTACATTGCTGCTAGGTGAACAGGGATCAAGGGAGGCTGGGAAGTGTGTCCGAACAACTTTCCACCGGCCCGGGAATCGAACCCATGACATCTCGCTTGAGAGGCAAGAGCAGTACCGTTCTACCAACAGGCGCATTCATCTTTTGAGGAACAATAGTGAGATAGGGGAACTCGTCCTTAAAAGTTCAATTAAAATATATTAATAATAAATTGGTGTTTTATTTTATCATTAATAATCAGATTTTAAGGTCATTGGTTAGTTACGTCAAGATTGGCTATTCTTCATTCCCTGGTTATTAAACATCCCAAACTTCCTACAGTTTAATTGATCATCGGGATGTTTAAAGTTTGTGTGAGGTAATGGCGAGAGGTACTCAACACCCTTTTCATGTCTCTGGCCAACAGGACATGAACCTAGGATGTAATTTATGAGATATTCATCATTCAAGAATTATTATATATTAATACGATGATTAGTATTTAATCATTATGAATTTGTATGTGAAATTTAATTAATTTTTAATAATTATTGCTCAATAATTGTTTAGTTTGAGAGTAATAATTATTATTTAGTTATATATTTAATATGGCAAGTTTAATATGTCATTATGACTTATAAATAGTATCATAATATTAATAAATTATAACTAAATAGACTTTAAATAGCCAAAAGAAAAACGTCTTATTTTATTTTACTTTGGTGAATTTGTAAATGCTCTCAAATTATTTGGTTCTCTGGCTATTGACTTAAGTTTAGTTTAATATTAATATATTACCATTAGGGGGAATTTAATCAATAATTTAACATTATAATAAAAGTATATTTTATTTGTGATGTAAATTTTCTTAGTAAGATACTTTTATTACAGTAATTATAATGAAAACTTGTAATTACTGAAACATAAGACAGAATCGGACAAGGTGTATCAGGACGCCAACAACTGACATTGTTGTGGGCGTATTTGTTGATTTTGTGAACAAAATGTTAATTTGTGGGCCTTCTTCCCTCTCTTGTGGTAAGTTAACATTATGTGTGTGTGTATGTATGTATGTATGACCGTGTTAAGGTAATAACTAAGACACAGTACAACTAATGTGGTCGTCTTGTGTATTTTTGTTAATGTGTGGGCCTTCCTTCCTCCCTCGTGGTAAGTTAACATTATGTCTGTCCTTGTTAACTAGACACAGTGCAGTAAGACAAAGCTGATCACTTTAGTTTATCTTTATTTACCTTATATTATAGTACTGGTATAGGTTAATATTCGTCCATTGGCTGTCTGCAGGTTCCCAATATAACAGACACAAAGACTGATTATATTAATACAGTATCACAAATTTCAAGGCTTAAATTTATGTTCCTGCTATGTTGCCTGAGTCACGTTTATCGTCCTGTCTTCATTTATATAAGATAATACTGTACTGGTATATTTCATATAAGATAATACTGTACTGGTATATTTTATATACGTTAATATTAAGAATATTTTATGGTAATTATTGACGACTGACACGCAGCCGATTTTTCATAGGAAGCGATTATAAAGATGCTGCAATTTCGCTGTGTTATATAGTGGACACTGTTGTAATTTGTGCAAATGTGTTAAAAAGTGGTTATTTCTAAAGTAAACTTAACCTAACCTAACCTCCCCAAGTTTTTATAGTAAATATAATGTTTTGTTTGTTACAGGAGATGTTACAACAAAGCTTTGGGAGATTGAACTGCTCTATAACAGCTGAAAATGATAAGGAGCATGGAACAAAAGCTTCCACCAGCACTGCCACCATCACTACTAGCACCACCACCTATGGCAAGGTAAACTATAGGAACAGCTCTCATAGTCTATACAGGAAATCTTTGTGCTCGTCAAACTCTTAAGACAAGTTGTTGTAAATATGCTCCTGTTAGTCATTTGTCTGTCTGTCTGTCTGTTTTTCATTTTTATATCTTTCTATATATTTAACAGTCAGTGGTTCCCAGCCTGTTGACCATGGGGGTAATTTAAACCATGTGAGTTCATAATAAAACTCCTAACAGAGTGCCAGAGTTTAAACGAGGGGTCTGCAACCCTCATATTTGTGGCCGGCATTATAGCATCCATAATATGTGACGAGCGGCCGGCTAAGTTTATAAGTAAGATATGGATGTTGGAACACTTCATGACCTTATGTGATACTCTTTGTTAAACTGGTAAATTATACCTGACAATGCTAGTACCTGTAACAATTACTGTTGAAAAGCTGCTTCACCTCCTTTTGTTTTTAAGCAGACGTGGACAGTCATTGTCAGCCATATATTGACGAGGTTAAAGGTAATATTCAGACAATTTGACCAAGGACAGCTGACAAAGCCATGAGACACTTATTTTCAGTAGTCTTTATGCCAGCAGCATGTGGTGTTCTCAGGGCCAGGCAGTCACCCATCTAAGTACTAACTTTGCTTAACTTTGCAATACTGACAAGAAGTGGATCCAGGAGGGTCCACACCCCTCCCTTTTCATCAGAAAATTCCAATACTTTTTCTTTAATGCAGTACAGTGGTCCCTTGGTTAACGAGATTTCGGTTAACGATTTACCTTCCATAAGATTCTTAACTTCGGTTAACGAGCAATCCCTCGATTAACGAGTTTTTTATGAGCCGACTTCAACATGTTTTCGCTTGCATTTGGCGGTCCACCAGCTGTAGTATTAGTCCGCCAATACAGTAATCGGTTTTAGGGCTTAAATTCCTTACTATTTTAGTAAATATCAAGAAGTTTATACTATTCAATAATTTTAAAAGTTTAATATTAACTTTTTTAGTCATTTTAACAATTATTGAACATAATTGAAGGTAAAGAAACTAGTTTCTGGCGTGCCATCCAGCCTGTTAACACACCAGACAGGCGTTAGTCTCTCTCTGTTTTCAGTGGAGGTAACATCTTGCTTGAGACTCTCTTCAACTAAATGCTTTTTTTCTGTGTTTCCAAGCAAATTATTGGTCATTTTGAAATATATTTTACATATTGACAATATATAATGCAGTGCAGTGTTGATTTAAAGAAAATAATTTGAAATACACCAAGAGAACTAAAATTTTATGGGTGAAATGGTGCCATGGGGTGACTTCTCTTCCACCCCAATGCCTTCTCTTCTTCCTTCTCCTCCACCCCCATTCTAATTCCCATCATCATCATCATTATCATCCAGGAGCCTTCTACATGCACACCTCAAAGTAAGTGAACTTTTCTACCTTTTTTGTTGAATTTAGGCAATTTTCGGTGAGCTGGAACCAATTACCCAAAAACCCATTGAAACAATGGTTTCGGTTAACGAGCAACCTGCTGGAACGAATTGTGCTCGTTAACCGAGGGACCACTGTATTGTACTCAGGTGTGTTTGTATAGTAAAAAGTAATTACTATTGACCTCAGAATATCTCCTAATATCAAGAGCACATGGCTTCAAAATGGCCTCACCCATTCCTACCGGAGTCTGACCTAACCGTTCCCAGGTGACCTCACCTTCTTGGACCCCCCCTTTTGGTATTCCTGGATCTGCCCCTGAGCTATAGCTCTTGGACCTGCAGATTAATATCCTGAAACATATTCACAAAACCACAAGAGTCATTGTTAGACTTTGGAGAAAAGAAACGTGAATCAGGTAACACAGTAGACTTGTGTAAATAGCAAGTACTGTACTGTACTTTACTGTACCACTTAAAGTTCACTACTATCATTAGAAAGGCAATTGTGGTAACAGCTTTTACTGAATTTAAACCAGATTTAAAAAAAATTGGAGAGGATATTCTATTATGTCGAATTGAATGGGCTTTGTACAGTAGTAACTCTATGTGAAAGATGGCCTCCACTGTGCCCTGACTGTGACTAAACCACTGATGCCACTATTGGTGACAAAAAGCAATGTCATCCAACCCACTAAGTTTTAATTAACTTTATGAATGTGCGTAAATTATACGCACATGCACAGCGTCCAATGTTTTGATTACCCGAGTTGTTGTGGACTTGAATTTATTTATGTGACATTATAATACACAACATTTACTGCAGACTCAACAGAGGTTTATATTGTTCACATATACGTACTATCCATGACTTGGAATCTTTTATTGTGTGGCGGTTCTATATTATAAGAACATAAGAACATAAGGAGTCTGCAAAGGCCAGTTGGCCTGTGCATGGCAGCTCCTGTCGAGAGTTACAACCACTCTTTATCGTCCATGAATCTATCTAGCCTCCCTTTAAAACTTTCCAATGTCCCAGCACTTACAACAAAGTTGCTAAGCTTGTTCCACTTGTCCACCACCCTATTTGTGAACCAGTTTCTTCCTATCTCCCTCCTAAACCTAGACTTATCCAACTTAAATCCGTTGCTACGAGTCCTATCCTGCTTGGATTTTATAAGAACTTTATCTATATCTCCTTTATTGATTCTTTTTACCCACTTAAATACTTCTTTAATCTATCTTGATAGGGAAGGTTTCTAAGTCCCGGAATCATTTTTGTCATTCTTCGCTGCACCGACTCCAGTGAGTTGATATCCATTCTATAATAAGGGTACCAGAACTGAACAGCATAATCGAGGTGCGGCCTGATTAGCGCAAGATATAGTTGCAATATGACCTCCTCACTCTTATTACTTACACTTCCAGATATGAAACCTAATACTCTGTTTTCCTTATTTCGAACATTAACGCACTGTTTTCCAGGCTGAAGGTCTGGGCTTCGATGTTGTTAAGGCTTTATACGTTTACAGTGTTTGTTCTACCAATATTAAGTATGCTGCACTTGCTGGTGTTGAATTTCATTTGCCATTTTTCTGACCACTCCTGCAGTTTATTTAAATCCTCCTGTAGCGCATTTGCATCCTGCCCTGAATTTATTTGCCGCCCTATTTTGGTGTCAACCGCAAACTTGGTTATGTCACTGCTGATCCAGTATCTAGATTGTTTATGTAGATTATGAACAAGAGTGGGTCCAGTACTGACCCCTGGGGAACCCCACTAGTTACACAGCCCCACTAAAATTTAAAACCATCTACGCTGACCCTCTGTGTTCTATCGGTGAGCCATGATTTTCCAAATTAAAACTTTCCCCTTGATACCATGAGCCTTAACTGACTTTAAATGCCCCACTTTGTCCTTGACTTTTGTCCTATATACTTGGAAAAATCCCTTGGGATTTGCCTTGGATTCTCTTGCTATCCTGATTTTGTAGTCCCTCTTTGCCTTCCTTACATTTTTCTTAACATTCCTAGATAGTTCGTTATACAGCCACTCCTCGACTTACGACCTACTCGACTTACGATCACCTGGACATACGACCGCCCCAGTCGTACCAAATTTTTTTCAAATTACGTATTTTCGAGTCCCGACGTCAGTGATTGCGCTGTGTACTGACAAAATTTTAGTTTGTAATTCCCTTTAAAATGGCTGGTAAGCTTAAAAGTGAGAGTTTTGTGGTGCTGAGAAGAAAAAGAGACACCCATTTTAGATTTTCTATGTATTACAGTATTTTTGCATTTTTGCCTTACGGCCTGGAATTGGGTCCCTAACCCCGTCGTAAGTCGGGGACTGCCTGTACCTTTCTCTGAGATGCTCCTCCCCTCCCTTTAATTTCATATAAATTCCTTTCTTTATTCCTATGTTATGTTTAAGTTTTTTGGTCATCCACCTTGGCTCATTCTTATTTGACCTAATTATTCTGAATGGTATATTTTGTTCCTGTGCTTTACGTAGTATACTAGTAGATTTAGCATAGTCATGATCAACAATTCCGTTGCTGGTGACCTCACCTATTACTACCGGAGATTGACCTGACTGTTACCAGGTGACCTCACCTAGGTACCTTCTTAACCCCTCATAATCCGCCAATTGAAAGTCATATCCAACTGCTCATTCCAGTGACGTTTAGTTTGTTTCATCGAAGAATGACTTAGGCTGAGACAACAGTAGTTATCATATCTTGTATGAGGGTCACAGAACGGAAGAGGTTGGGAACCACTGAACTAACTGCTTATGTATGTCTGTGTGTCTGTCTTTCTGTGCCTTTCAGTATATCTATCAATTTATCTATCTATTATCTACCTTTATCTAGTTATCAATACCAATCTCAGTCAGTTTTATCTATAAAGGTATTTGTCAATCTATTTATCAATACAGTACAGTAGAATTCCAAAAATCCGGACTGCTTGGGGATTGGGTCGGTCCGGATTTTCGGATTTTCCGGATTCTCAGGCAGTACTTTTAAAATTAAAATTTAAGAAGGAATAAAGAAGAGATGAAAAGGTACATTTTGATAGTTTATTCATTAGCAAATATAGCATGCTTCATTTATCAAAATGAGCAGTTTTAAAGAAAAATAAAGTCAACACTAGACAAAAATGTAAACAAACTGTCTAATACCATGACGAGTCTTGAAATTCCTAAGCCATCCAACACTAAATGCGCACTCTGATTCAATGTTCATTTGCTCCTTAAAAGACTTTGCTTTGGCAATAAGCATCGGCCCAGAAATTGCCATACCTTCTGATCGTTTTAACAAAAACCATTCGTGCAACACTTTATCAAGATTTTCTAATTTGGGCCAATGTAAACTTTTTCTTTCAGCAATTTTAATGTAAGGCTGAAAAAAGCTGTGAATTCTAGAATTTTATTCTTCGCCTTTTTTAGATCATAAATTGTAGACTTTCCAATGTCATATGTTTCCATTAGAACAGCATTGCTCACGCCACATTCTAGTTTCTTAATTATTTCAAGTTTGTCACTCAATTTCAATGTGTTCTTCTTTCTCTTCACACAACGAAGTTTATCTACTTTAGGGGCCATTATTATGGGCTTGTACTCTGTACATGGAAAGAGTAGGACTTAAAATTACATACGTTGTCACAGTTTGATTGCTTGTTTTAAAGTGGCGATCGCGTGGTCGTTTGTTGTCGCTGTGCAGCTGTGGCATTCACGCATGCACACATACACACAAAAGATTTATAGTGCCTCAAATTTTACATTTCAGTTCAAGCTAATTACAAAGCTAACAAAATTAGCTACCTATAATTTACATTTACTTTTATTATTAGAATTATGTAAATTAATTTTTTAAAGCAACTCCATTCATTCATGTAACCCCCCAAAAGCCCGCTAAATTTAAAAAGTTTGAGTTTTCGAAAAGTCCGGATTCTCGGGTGGTCCGGATTTTTGGACTTTTACTGTACAAGTATTTGTCAGTCTGTCATTCTACTGTATGTACTGTATGTCTATCCATATGGCTTACCAGTATCTGTCAGTGTCTATTTATTATTTAAAGAATGTATATAAAGTGATTTAAAACTTGCAGACACAGCATAATTGAGTTTTTAAATATTCGAAATATCTTTAATTATTCCAAAGGTCATTAATTAACACTTAATTACCTAAATGTTTAAACTGTGGACCCAGATCCTTTATCACCATGTAAAGTTGTACCTCTGTGTTGTATTATATTATATTTTCTTTATTTATAAACCACATTATTTATATAGAGTTTAATAAGTGTAATTTTTTTTTCTGAGACACGAATTTGCTAGGTCAGCATCTAGCACTGTGCATTGTAGGATTTATTGGGGACCTTAAGAGCGAGTTTGAACTAACGGGAAAACCTGTTAATCCATCACCTCTCAGTCCCCGTAGATGCTGGATAACTGGGATTCTACCTGTCTGTCTAAACTACTGTATTAATGTATCACTAATTTAGCTGGGAATATTAAGGCAAAAATGACAAGTACGCAAGGTTTACAGTCACAAGAAAGTTCACATAAACCAAACTTGCATAAAACAAACAAATTCTGTACTGAATGGCTATTAATTTATGGACATAATTTTATCATAAAATGTTGTGTATATTAAATGTTTTTGTTTGTTTGTTACAGATGAGTTAACAACTAAACATTGAGAAGTTAACAACCGGACCATGGAGACACTATTGTTACAGGTATGTCTTTATGTCTGTCTGTGTTTGTCTCTGCTGTATCTGTCTAATCTCAATTTTTCTAGGTATGTCTAACTGTCTGTCATTCTCTCAGTCTTTCAATACCTGTATGTCAGTCAGTCTGTCTGTTTGGTATTTATATCATCTGTCAGACTGTCTTTATCTATACAAGTATTTGTCTTATCTATATCTATGCTATCATTAAGAAAGATATTGACAGTGAGTGAGGAAGGTGGGTACACAAGAGGTACAGTGAGTGAGGAAGGTGGGTACACAACAGGTACAGTGAGTGGATGGCAGACTGCAGGATGCTGCTGACTGTAAGTGATGTGTGTGTGCAGGTAAATATGTTTCCACGGCAAGACTGAAGAAACTCAACACTGAAGATTATCCTTGTGTTGTGCGGATGAGTTCTGCTGTCTGGGTGATGTGATCAGTGCTGGAAGGGGTTCTGAAGGCTTCTGTGTTATGAGTCATGGATGAGTGCTGCTGCCTGGGTGACATGATAGTGCTGGAGGGGGTGCTGAAGGCTGCTGTGTTGTGAGTCATGGATGAGTGCTGCTGCCTGGGTGACATGATTAGTGCTGGAGGGGGTGCTGAAGGCTGCTGTGTTGTGAGTCATGGATGAGTGCTGCTGCCTGGGTGACATGATTAGTGCTGGAGGGGGTGCTGAAGGCTGCTGTGTTGTGAGTCATGGATGAGTGCTGCTGCCTGGGTGACATGATAGTGCTGGAGGGGGTGCTGAAGGCTGCTGTGTTGTGAGTCATGGATGAGTGCTGCTGCCTGGGTGACATGATCAGTGCTGGAGGGGGTGCTGAAGGCTGCTGTGTTGTGAGTCATGGATGAGTTT